AAAAGCACTAACAAACAACCCCCCTCCCCCACCGAAAAAAGTCCCACAAAACAAACAAACAAACAAACAAACAAACAAACAAACAAACCCACCCAAACCCAACTCCCAAAAAAAAGCAACCCAGGCAAGAAACAAACAACAATACAACCCCCTCCCCCTTTACACTAAATTGCACAAACACAAAAATATTTTTAAATGGAAGATGAAAGAAACGTGAAAGGATTTAAAAAAGATGAATGTGAATTGGGGCTCAACTTTTTAAAAACTAATTTCATTTGAGAGTAGAGTAGCCAGTATATTATTATATCTTGCCGAATGGATTATTTCTCCATTGACTCCTGGCTCCTGGTGTGCTTCAATAAATAAGCCCAGACTTGGCGGCGATAAATCGGCCAAAGCAGACGATAGAGCTACTCTTCAAAATAATGAACCGCACCGTCTCAATTGTGTCTGCGGTTCCTCGTGTGTATATTGACGTCATTCATTTTATTAACCCCCTAAATTCTCAATTCTTAGAATGGACTGTCAGCAAAAGAATATTTATTATATTATATTGGTAAAAGTCTGCTTTTGCACCCCTGTTCATAAAATAATCAATCTTTTTCTTCGCGTTCCCGTGCTAATGCTGGGTCTCAGGGGTAATCGGCTGATTGATCTTTTATCTGAAGTGCAACTTATTTTTACGTGACTCTTTTTTTCCTACTTCGTAGGGCCTCTGCCTTCAGAGAGCCACACTCCAATTTCGAAGGTTCTTTATGTTTTAATACTGACTATAATTATAATATTTTCAGTTTTGGTAGGAATTAATTTAGAATTTTGCCCGGGGGCGAAGCCTTTGCTTACCAATTTCAGGACCATTAAGGGATTTCTTACGTGCACAACTTACACACGGGACTTTAAAAAATATTCGCTCTTTTCCGAGAAGGCACGGTGTTCGGTCTTATCGATCCGAAGATCAGGGGTGTGGCTGAAAGACAGCAGTGATAAGGAGCCAAGAGTAGAAATAAAAAGAGTCAGGACTGGAAGAAAAGAGGAGCCCAGAGGAGGGGGGAAGTGCACAGAGGGAGCAGAAAGTGGATATAATGAAAGAAGACGACAAAACTTGACTAGAGAACAAGAAAGGAGGTGAAAGGAAAACATTAAATTTTTAAAGAGAAAAACGTTGTTCGGCGCTGTCATCATATTTCGGACCCGAGACCTATTGAAAGGGAGGCAAACACTGTACCTCTTGACTATTTAAGAGGCCTGTAAAATTATTGTATTATATATATATATATATATATATATATATATATATATATATATATATATATATATATATATATATATATACAAATACAGCGAGGAGTTCGACGTCGTGGGAGTCTTGAACGGACGACAGACAGATAAATATTAGGGTCTGTGAGGTATATCATACATTAAAGACTAAAGATGTGAGTTTGATTCCAACATGAGGTATTTTAACTCAAGCATCTCCATCCGTCTACTGGGGTGTTGCATCCTTCAAAGCCTACATCGGCCCTAACAAGCAGCATCTGTAGCGTAGCAGTTAGGCACTTCGCTGTGCCACATACAAGACCCGAGTTCAATTCCTGAGTGGGGGGAATGTATAAAAATTATCTCTGACTGTCTGATGAGTGTTGAATTTCTCTCAGCTTGGGTTGGGCACAACAAGCAGCGTCGCAGCCTGCCTCCTAAATGACTAAAAATGTGTTGATGGGGGCGTAAAAACACTTAAACGCTAAAAAGAAAATTCCTGATAGACAGGGTCAAAGCTGCCCTTCAATGGGAGAATAAAACGTTTAAAATTACATACAGTACATCGATAAATAAAGAGACAGAACAAGAAAAAAACAACAACTAGATTCTATATCAAGACCTCCAAAAAAGTTCCCACCCGTCACATATGCTGCAAACAAAAGAACACAATCAACCTTTCTTTGTCAAAGAAATTAAAATTTTAATAATTCACACAAAAAAATAATTTATTTTACTCACATCACAAGAGTATCAGAACAAGATGAATGAGAGTAATAATGTTTATATATGTATATATATTATTATTATAATTAATAAAATGTAAAGTTCTATCACTAAAATGCTGAAGTGTGAAGAGGTTTACTAAATAAAAACAAAAGCCCTAATTAAAGATTCACAACAAAAATGATTAGTAACTAGTAAATGTAAGTCACTACAGATATGCTGGGGGCAGGAACTACAGAAAAAACACAAAGGTTTAATGTTACTTCGAGTAAGAAAGTCATTAAAATATAATATGTAATAATTATATTCTCTTATATTCACGTACACAAAGTAACAGGAAAACAGTATGCACGGCTCAATCATGAACAGCACATCGCAGTTCACAACATAAGAGCGTAAGAGAGGAACAAATAAAAAAAAAGATAAAGCGGTCACCAACAACCCCCACAACAACATTGTCGCACACTTAGAAACAGTTTGCTTTGAAAACTTCTTTTTAAATTAAAAGGATGTTCCTCACACTGGGTAGGCATTCGGAGCGAGGATCTAATGGTAGATGTGTATGCATATTAATAATATCTCTTTGTGCAACTGGCGTACAAGGCTTACAAGAAGAGTTGTCTGAGAGCAGCGAAAGATGAGGGAGGAA